CCCCTTGTTCTGAAGCCCACCCCACCTAGCCTCCTTTAGTACCACCCCCATGGCTCTCAGCCCTGAACCTCCCATGCTGCACTTCACTGCCCCAGTGCAGGACCTGGCACACGGAAGTGGCACTGTCTGCTATGGGAATGAATCCAGTGGAGCTTAACACTCCCCTAATCCCAGCTTCTCATTCTGAATACTCTGTCTCCCTTGCCATCCCCTGAGATTTGAAATTACTTTCCACAAAACCGAAGCACACTCAGAAGCAACCTCCACCCACAGCAGAACATTCCAAGCTTCTCTGTGGGCCTCCCCCTCTGTCTCCAGGACACACTGGGCATGCAGTGGCCACCCCAGTTCTCCACTGGCTGGGCAGTGACAAAGGCACAAGACCAGCCCTCCACTTCCAGGCTTGGCCCCCAGAGGCACTTAGTTACTGAATTCCCTATTACTTTAGCCAGCAGCCCAGAGATCAATTAGCTTAGAGTAGCTCTCAGCTGATAGCCAGTCTGAGAGAGGGGTGGAGTCAGAAATGGCTGGGGTCTGGGGAGAAGGGGAAGAGGTGAGAGAGAAAACTGGGCTACCTGAAGGATGTTTGTGTGTATCTGTGTCTGAGACAGAGGGAAAAGGAGCCATCTGAGACCCCAACCCAGGGCCCACCCACTGGATTCCTGCAACTGCAATGGGCTCTGCTCCCGTCTCCTCTCTCCACCCGCCTGTGTTCAGATTAGGCACTTTCTGGGAGGGAGGAACAGATGAGAAGGATAAGGTAGGAGGCAGTAGCCATGAACACCTAGGGCAGGAACCCTTCCCCCAAAGTTCATGAAGCCCATGAACCCCTCCTCCAAAGTTACTGTCTCCAGGTCAGCCTCTTCTATCCTTCTGCAATCTGTGCATGTTCCCCCTTCCCACCCCTGAAGACCACCAGGCCTCTGGGTGGGGCTGCCCAAGACTCCTCTTCCCCTCTCTGCACAGCAGTCTGGGCAGCTTCTCCCCTCAGCAGCCCCTCCACTCCCTGCCTAGCTGGAGGGTGCAGACCCTGGCAGTAAGGTCAGGCCCTTCCAAGGGACTTCTGGTCTGAGCTTCTATGGGGCAGCATGGGGTGTGGGGATGAGGGGTGAAACCTGGAGATGAAGAAGCTCCGTGCTAGTCCTGGCTTTTGCCAGGCGCTGCCATCCCTGGCTCTCCTGCTTTTAGATGACCTCTCTCTCCCCACTTTGGGTCCCAGGATCAGCCACCCACAGCCACCTCTCATTGCAGGATCTTACTTTCCTAGGTGCTCCAGGGGATGCCCAGGCCCCTTCGGAACCTTGCAGTGGGTTGCGGGGGAGGTTTCTGTGCTCATTCACTCCACCTCTTCCCTGGGAGATTCTGGTCTCCAATCCAGGGTCCTGAGAAGTACTCTTGTGGACCCCTCCCAGGCATTCTTGTCCCCCAGTTTCACCCTCCTGAGAGAGATTATGAGCCACACCACATGCCCACCCCAGCATTTCCACTCTCTGCCCTCCTCTTCCTTCTCTTTCAGGCCCCAGAAATGAATTCCTGCTTCTCTCTCCCCTAGGCAAAGGGTCTAGGTCTCAGCGGAGGAGGGGGTGGCATAGGGCAGACTGGGTGACCATCTGCCAGCCCCCTCCCCTTGCTGCTGCTCAGCATTCCGGCCACATCAGCTGCTCCCACTGCCAGGGACAGATAAGGTGCAGCTGGAGGCTGGCACCAGCTGCGACTGTGCTCACTCCCCTGGCCCCCACCCAGACACCAGCAGACAGCTGCACCCCAGCCCCCCTCCATGGAACCCCTGCCCTGCCTTGGCCTGACTGGCCTCAAGGTGGGGCAGGAGAGAGGAGCCGCAGACCCCGTTGCCTTGGCAACAAAGCACCCTACCAGGAAGAAAAGGAGGTGGCCGGGAAGAGGGGGCCTTGTAGTTGGGTCACTATGGTTGCTCAGGAGGCAGCTATTGAGACCTTCCCAGCCAGGTTGCTGTGGGGATACTCCCTGCCCTGCCCTTCTGTCTCTTCAATCCTGAAAGATTTCCAAACCAGTCCCTCCCAGATTCAGCTCAGGCTCCCCATATTCACCCCCACCCTCCCAAGCTGACTCAGCCACACCTGGGGGATGGACCCTGGCCAAATGCTCTGTGACCACCAACTACTCCCTGGGGTTGAGCTGGATCCAGGAGCACATCTGGAGATATGCCTGTTACTGCAGATCCTCATCAGGGGAGCTGGGGTCTTTGAGTGACCAGAGCAGCCTCCCCTGAATTGTCTTCTTATGCCTCCCCCAACCAGCCTTTAGAAACAGGGTTCTTATTGTTGAGATGAGGGTTGCCCTTAGAAATCTACAAAAGAGTCCACACGTGCTCCCACACACTATATTTTGCAAACGTGTTGAGCAAAGTCTTGGACAGTGGGGGGTGGTATCCCCACAGCAATCCTGTTGGATGGGCCCCAGCAGCTTCTTCCCGAGCCACTGAAAGAGCAAACAAAGTCCTAACCACAAAGCCTCTCTTCCGTCACTACCTCCTTTCCTCAGTGAAGAACCTCTGCTCTGAAGGCTGCAGAAGATGCCAAGATGGTTTCCCTTAGACCCTGACCCTATAGACAGCTGTTTTCTGTCAGTGCTACATCTGCCCAGGGCTGGAGACACACTCCCAACACACCTCTGAGCCTAACAGAGAATGTCAAGGATGTTAATCACAAGACTGAGGAGAGAAGGGAGAGGGTGGAGCATCAGGCAAGGAGTGTGGGAGCCCTTAGGACTGGGGAGCTGGAGGAGAGAGCCTGCCAGGCCCTTCTCCAGTGGGGAGGTGTCAGACATGGACTCCGGCCAGACGCCCATCTGTGTGGGAACATCCCTATGGGTAGAGCTCTTGACATGGAGAGGGGCTGGCAATGAAATCAACTAAAGAGAGCAGAGGGAGGGGTGAGAGTTTTGGGTCCAGCAAAATTCAGGGTCAGGTCTTTGATACGGGCTGCAAAACAGCAAAAACCTGGTCTTCCCTAACAACCCAGAAGCAAGAAGGGGCACAGCTGGGGCTGCAGGGTGCTAGCTTGTGTGTCTCTCCCCCAGAGTAAGAGGAACAACTCAGACTGCTCCAGAACTTTGTAAGCCAATCACATCTCCATCTGACTACTTAGAATGGTCCCCTCAGACGGCATGGACCAATCACATCTCAACATCTCCATTATTGACCAAACGTTATCTTAGCATCACCACTTGGAATCTTTCTGGACATGATGGACAGATGGAGCCTCAACTGAACACTTTCTATGGACTAACTGCCCAGATTTATATCTTAGCACCTCCTCAGATTGAGCCAAGCACTTCCCTCCCTCATTCAACACTACAAACCACTCAAACAAATACATTTTCTCCATCTTTCTCAGGGGTCCCTCCTGCTTGTATGTTGGGTGTGTTGGAGAGAGGGGGCTCTGACTTTTGCTTCCACCTTCACCTACAGTCCTATTACTCTTGGGAGCATCACTTGTGAGACTGGGAACCCTCTGGTCTCGAGCTCTGGGGAATCCAAGACTCTCCTGCTATGAAGAAGTAAGAGAGGGAAGGAAGTGGTTCTTGCATCTTGGCTAAGCTCCCCATCAGCTTGGCTCAGTAAAGAGTGCGATCAGGTAAACTTTGTCCAGCAGGATTGACAAGGCCCATGAAACTGGTCTGCAGAGCAAGGCTTAAAGAGATTGGGAAGTCTTGCACAGCAAGAAACACTAAACGTGACCATGGTGCCATCCTTTCTGCACAAATACAGTTCATGTTCCCATACTGCAGGAGGAAGCAAGCAAACAGGGAGAAAATGGGCAGGAAAAAGGGAGAGGATCTGAGAGCTGAGTAGGCATGGAGAGAAAAGGGTCCTGGAAAAGAATGTGAAGTGGACACAATAACTCCAGAGTCCATAATATTAATTAAAAGAGTAAAGGACATTTTCAGCTTAAGGAGACATGAGTTCTAATCCTGAACCTGTCACCTGTCACTAACTGTGTAAGCTTGGGTAAATCATTCTGCCTTTCTGTGTCTCAGTTCATGCATTTGTAAAATAGAGCTAACGTGATTATGTATCAAGGCAATTGAGGGGAGCCTAGAAAGCACGTGAAAGAGTTATGAACATTGTCCATTCATTTGGTGTTATTGTTTCTACATGGCTCCAGAGCCTCTGGTCTCTTTGCCATCCGGGTCCAGGTCTTAACCCTCAGGAATCTGTGTGACTTGCCCAGGGTCGCCCAGCACATCAGATGCCAAAATCAGTTTCCCTACGCCCTCCCTGAGGTGCTGGCCTGAGGCAGCCACATCTGTGGGGTATCTCCATTTTAAGATGCAAAGGAAGCCTCCAGGGCAGCCATGATTGGGTGTCATGATGGCCTTCCTTTCCTCAGACCCTGGCTCTGTGGCTCTTCCTGGTAAGCAGAGAACCTAACCAGTGTATGTGTCTATGTATGGGGTGCAGATGGCACAGAGGGAGTTACTGTCAGGCTATTTAAGAGAAGGTTTCCCTTACTTGTCCTTCACAGTGCTTCTCAAACTTTAGTGTACACTCCAATCACCTGAGGATCTTATTAGATGCAGATTCTGGTTCAGTAGGTCTGGGAAGTGGGGTGGCAAAGTCCTGCATTCCTTTCAAGCTCCCAATTGATGGTCCTGGACCTCACTACAAGTAACAAGGCTGTAGCTTACCCACCTCTCTGCTCAGCTCTGACACCTGTGGCCTAGAAGGTAAGCTTGGTGGGTTTGTGGCTATGTCAGGCCACGTTTGTGCATATATGTGTGTGTTGTGCACTGTAGGCTCTCTTTCCTGCCATCATGGCTGCAAGGCTGAGGCTCAGGCCCTCAGTGAGTGTAAATGTGTCCCTATGCTGAACAAACTCCCCTTCTACCAGAGGCAAACCCCAGGACACACAACTTCCTCTCCCAGAGTAGCAAGCACCTGGAGAGGCCCAGCCTGCTCCTTGTCTCCTCCTCCTCCTCTGTGGGCCAGGCTGACTCACACCCCACACCAGGGGACTCACCACCTTGAAGTCTTCAGCGCTGCAGACCTCTCCCCGGAAGTGGCAGGACAGCAGCATGTCTCGAATGTCGTGCCCAGCTCGGTCATAGAACTCACGCATGTTGAAGGGTTTGGGTTTGAAGCTGCGGAAGTTGGCTTTGTCCTGCAATATCTCCAGCTGCTTTTCGTCTGCCATCTGTGTGTCTGGTATCTCATACCTGGGGCCCGGGGGTGAGTGGCACACGGGTCAGTACAGCCATCAGTGTCCCACACCCAACTTGGGTGATGGGGGCAGCCTCCAGCCCTGGGGATCAGGCCCAGGTATAGGCAAGGAAGGAGAGCTGGGCATGCAGAGGATCTACCACATGGGTCTGAAATGATAGAAGGATCTGTAGTGGCTGCCCAGGGGCAGGGCATCCCAGTATATGGGTGAGAGGAAGCATGGATAAGGTGGGCAGAGAGACAAGGCAGGGGCTGTGGCTTTTATACTATAGTCTCTACCCTTTAAAGATGGTCTGTGCCCATCCCCCAGCTGACGAGAAGGTCAAGACAGAGTGGCCAGAATAAGGGTAAAGCTCACTCCAGACAGGGTGACAATGTCTCATATCTCAGGCTGGGTAGGGGTCAAGCTGTTCTGGACTATGCTGGGATCAGAGGCTGGATGTCCTTAATTGGGTGCTCAGCAGCACCCTAACTCCTCTGCTGTGAGTGGCAGGTTTTGGGGTGGGGGTGGGTTAAAGGGCAGGCATGGCTGGCCTCTATGGTGGGTTAGGGAGGCAGACACCCTGACTGGAACTCACACAACTCCAGGAGCAGAGCTGAGGGAGGGTGGGAGCCACCCACCTGTTGTTGAGCAGGGCCAGAAGCTCCCCGGCATGATACAGGTCATTCTTGGAGACTTGGCTAAAGCGGAACTCGTTGAGGTTGCACAGCGTGACAGCAGGGAAAGTAAGCTGAGAGGCAGCCACCTCGTCGAGCTTGGTGACATGGTGGTAGTGGAAGTAGTACTGCACACGCTCCGTGCACACACACAGCAGCACAGCCAGCGAGCCCAGGAAGCACAGGGCCCACAATGCCCGCTTCAGAGACAGCCGCTCGTAGGAGAAGATGTGGGCCAGGCCGTGCAGCGTGGAGCTGCTGGCGAAGGCCTGGATGCTCACCGGCTGGACGCCACCCACCTCCTCCTCCTCGGCCTTCAGTTCCATCCTTGTTGAGGGGATTCTGGGGGAGGGGAGAGGGACAGTCTGTCATTGTCCTGGGATGGAAGTACACATGGGGCCCCTCCACATGTGCCCATCCAGAATCCTCATCTCCAGAGGTCACCACTCCTCAGGCAGAAGACTTCCCTGCTTTGCAAGCTCAGAGGTGGCTGACCAAGGGACACATCCAGGGTTCCTTCAAATACACAGGAACAGGGGTCAGGTCAGGCCAAGAGAATGTTCTCCCAGAGAAGCTTCCCAGGCCCGGGGAGACCCCAGATACAGTCATCCAAGATTGAGGGGGAAGTCCTGATGCACCCATAGGCAGGCGCAGGAGTTCCCTCCAGATGTGGGGTCACTCTGGGACAAGAATGTCCACCCCATTCTGGAGATGAAAACTGGCCCAGATGGGCTGACCCCGGGGTAAGGAGCTCCTCTCCTGCTCATGGGTATTCACAGGACGGGGCTGTGGTCCTAAGAGCTAAACTGGGGCCAAAAAACCCCCAGGGAGGTGGCTACCTCTGGGGAGGGGCCCAGCCTGAGTCCTCACCTGCGGGTGTCTCCAGTTCTGAAATAAGAGCAGGCTGTGTGTGTGTATGTTGGGAGTGGGGGGTGGCGGGCTGCCCGAGGTGGATGTATGGAGGGGGGGCGCGGTTCCCTATGACAGCGAGCTGTCCCCGCCCCGGACGCACCCCCCCTCCCAGTCCAGCTTCTCGTCGCAGTCAGATCCCCTGCTTGGCCCCCGCCCCCCTCCCCAGCCACCGAGCCGCCCCAGCAGCAAGGGAAATCCAGAGGGAGGAGAGTCCTGGCTTCGGGGTGCTGAGGAGCCCCGCAGCCAAAGGCAGGGGGATCAGAAACCCACCTGAGGGGGCTTCGGGAAGCCGGCAGCCGGCGGCGGGTCCTGGGGCG